CCCGAATCCGAGCCTGACGCGACGAAAAAGGTCAAGATTGCGCTTTGTTTCGTTTTCGTGGAACACGTGTTTTTTTTCTTCTCTGCTCTACATTGAAATGGGCCATGATTTACAATAAAAGTGTCAAATATTACGCTAGGCGAGCTATGCGAGAAAACTTAATGATCCGTATCGACCCGTCTCGGGGCACGTTCGATATTAACATTTTTTTCGTCTAGGATTTGCCTACAAAGGGGAAATTTAGACAGAAGTATGTGTGCTTTTGTTGAGAGCAGAAGTAAATCTTTACGTTGCGAATAGTGAGTGCACCTTCGACAATTACAAAGGTGATGTACTCGTTTTATTTATCTCTACGTCTATTGCATCCCTCTAATAACGATATGATCGTGTCCAATTATTTGCCAATATAACTTTATTCTCGTACCGCATTGATTATTGCCATTTATAACACATTCCAGAGACAAATTGCAGTTTTAATTATACTGGGCCTACTGGGTAATTACTGATCGATTTACGTATTTTTGTTTATATTTAGATGCTGTATGTTCCCTTAGGGGCGATACCCAATACAAGTATGCAGAACTACATTTTAATTTATAATTGAATTTATTGCAGCACATTTCGCTTTTGTTTACCTGATTATGTTACTGTGTATTTACAGGGTGCCTCATCTGGGGGCGAGTGACGTACGTTAGGTGGTTGATTGTTACATATTGCACTTGGCATTGTGAATTAATGACTTGATACCAATGTTTGTCACGACATGTTCCTTTGTATTGTTGTAATGTGATTGTACTAAAATGTATGCTCCTACTATTTATTTGAACCGGGTGATTATGTCATTATGATTATTAATATTTGGCGGGGTGACTGGTTTCGAATATTTACTGTGCTATATTTGATATTGATATTTGATACCGATATTTAATATCTCGATTTGACGTAGCAGAGGCTGGCTAAAGTTCAGAACTGACATACGCAGAGATATATATTTTATGTACTGTTGTTTTTTGTGTCTTCGAGGGGAGCCATCTTGCCAATATTGCTAATCAATTCGTTTAGTCGATCCCTGTCATGTAGTGACCGAATATTGGTTTTGTGTCAGTCTTTGTTATGCCAGTGCAAATATGTCAGCTGTCAACGCCTACATAAATTGTGTATATTTTGTGTATGCGTGCGAGTTTGCCGTTGGTTACTCTGTTATTTATGTTATGTCATGACTTGTCTTTTGATCGGTTATTGTCAGTACTCATGGTAGAGAGCCCTTCGTTTGTTGAGCTGGATGGCCGCAGGCCATCCATATTTCGGCAGCCCTAGCTGTTTAGCTTTTACTGCTTGCTGGTTGTAGTTCATGACGTCTTGTTACCTCTTTTGTTGTTTATGAGGGTGTGCGTGTTGCTCTTGGAGCGATGTCCTATTTCCATCTCTGTTCCACCAGTGAGGATTGTTAGGCAAGGGTTCCAACGGTCTGCGTCACCTCTTGCTGACGCGGTTGGTGGGAACAAGAGTGGTTGAGGATTATTCGTTTTCCTGCAGCACCCTCCTTGGCCGCTTCTTTTTTCGCTCCTGTGTGCCCGCCACAGGTGCGAGGTTCCTGATGTGGTCGACGTCTGATTTGTCTAGTTTTTCGAAGACCTTCTCGGCCAGCGAGCGGATGTGGTCGGATAGGGTTGGTATGTCCAGGGCCTGCCGGATGTCTTCGTTCCTTACGAACCAATCTGCCCTGCAGATGGTCCGTAAGGCGATGGATTGCACCGCTTCCATCTTTTTCGCGTAGGATTTTCCGACGTACGTCTTCCAGCCTGCTGAAGCGTACGTCATGATGGGGCGCACGCACGTCTTGTAGATCGCGAGTTTAGTCTTCACGGTAAGGGCGCTGTTGCTGAGTAGAGGGTAGAGATGCGCTCTTCTTCCCCGAGCTTTGGTGGATACTTCGTCCGCGTGTCGGTTGAAGGTCAGTTTTCTGTCTATTGTTACGCCCAGGTATCGGATGGAGGGAGACCATTGGATGTCTTGACCGGCGACGTTTAATTTGTTGTAGTCCTGGTAAAATTTTTTGTTGGTGAATATCACAGCCTCAGTTTTAGCGGGGTTGAATTTGAGCCGCCAGCGGCTCGCCCAATTGATGATGGTATCGATGGATTCCTGTGTTCGTCGTACGGCGATGTTGGGTAGCCTATGGTTGCCGTGAATTAGTAGATCGTCGGCGTACAGGGCTATTTTGACGTCCGGACCGACCGGGACGTCGTTGATGTAGATGCTGAACAGCACGGGCGACAGGCAGCCGCCCTGCGGTACTCCTGCTCGTGCTGATTCGGCGTCCGAAAATGTGTTGCCTACTCGAACTTTGAAGGTACGGTCGGTCAGGTAGTGGTCGATGAGATGAACGAAGTCCAGCGGGATGTTCGGAGTTCTCGATAATTTGAATATGAGACCTTGCACCCATACTTTGTCGAAGGCCTTTTCGTTCTCGAAGGAGGCCGCCACCGTACACTTCGCTCTGTTGAAGTTCTCGGCCACAGCGTCGACGAGCCCGATAATTTGCTGGGTGGTGGAGTGGTTTTTCCGGAACCCAAACTGCTCGGGTCGGATGTTGATAAGCGGCAGCAGTCGTGCGAGAAGTATCCTCTCGAATATTTTTCCCAGTGCAGGAAGCAGCGAGATGGGACGGTAGTTGTTTGGGTCGGTGAGGACCTTTCCTGGTTTGGGCAGCATAATTACTATCGCTTGCTTCCATGCAACCGGGAAGTGCTTGAGTACGATGGCGGAGTTGAATAGCCGGGTAATGTAGGCTAACACTGTTCTGGTGATGTTTTGTAGGGCCTTGTATGTGATGTCGTCGTGCCTCGGGGCTTTTCGCGGTTTTTGTTGAAGTATCATATCCCTGACTTCGGACGGCGAGGTTAGGGGTATGTTGTTGGTCGTGGGCAGCGTTCGGATTCTGAGGTGTTCAGTTTCCACCGCTTGTGTATGGTTGACGTCCGTGGCGGGGTGGGGCGTAAAGTTTTCGCGTAACGTGTGGGCGAATATGCCGGCTTTTTCCCGGTCGTCGTATTTCCGTCCATCGGGGGCTTGAAGCGGGCAGGCTGGTGGTTTCCGCTTGGTGAGGGCGCTTGCGATGCTGAACGCGTGGCCTTGCCTTTGGATGGTTCGTTCGACGTGCTCGTTCCATTCGGTATTGCGGTACGCGCTGATAGCGTTTTTAAGAGCGGCTTGTTTGGCGTTTAGTTCGCGCTTTATTGCAGGATCTCTCGTTATCTGCCACTGTCGAACTAGCCGCCGTTTGACTCGGATCTCGTCAAGGAGGTAGGTCGGAAGTTTTCTTCTGACTCT